CATATGAGTTACGATAATTTAGCCTGATTTTAATGATAGCAACGAGTTTATTTCGTCTTTAGTGAATAAAGGACAGTGAGAACTAATCGATCACGGTCGAACATACCAAGAGGAAAATGCACGACTGTTGGCGATGGAAATACTTCTTTCGGTTGAGACAGATCAGCAAAAGTACTCATTTGTTTCATAACTGTGCTATGCAATGAATTGGCGTGTGAACATTCAAAATTTTTATTCAACCGAAAAATGGTGCTTTTAACAATATTCTGACAGTAGGTGGATCATTGTTACATGGGAGGCAAGTAGAAAGAAATAGGAGGGAGGTTGAAGGCTGGGTAAACCCCAAAAACGCAACGAAGCGGATCGATTTTGAAGATGAAATACGCCATCACAAATAAGGGTAGGATACGCTGAGATGTTCTGGTGGTTTTATTTTCAAGTCAATACAACCATATTTACTCGAGAAGACTGAACACAAATTGTTGATGAGTCGATGGATCCATCGGCGCAGAGTTAGGAGTTTTCCTCATATCATCGTAGAGCGAAATACAGTGAAGTGAAATTCACGGATCTTTTCTGCTAGTATGTGTCACTACATGAACTGACTTAATCGAATATTAGCTTTGGGACTTTGAATGTAAACAACAATAGGGATTTAAAAGTTGCGTACTAACAGCATCAGATGGATATACTCGAGTGACCGTTCACTACCCGCCACAGTGTCGCATATAACAAGTTTCTCATTTTTGAGTAGTAGTTACCAGGCGCTACTGCCTGTAATATAACGGGACAAACAAACTTGACTACTTTATTAAGATAGTTGATTGTATGGACAGTGTGTTGTCTTAAGTCAATGAGTGGGCGATAGGTGATGTGCGCGTTACCTTCGGGGGAAACGTGTTTACACCATTAGAAGGACACCGATGGGATCAGCCATATTAAAACGGGGCACTCGAAGATTGTAACACCTGTTGGGATACATCAATGCGATGCACTGAAGCACGATGTTCCACGTTCACGTTTGTTACTGAGTCGTACCAACGACATTTTCTAGATAACCTATTTAAAGTCGCGAGACTGTAAATTGACAAAAAAGTACAACCGAATGAACCGCGTGATTGAATCACATTGTCAGATTCAGATTGTTCATTAGCCCTACAAAACACTGGTTTGGTTAGTTGGTACCACGATTAACCTTTCTCGTCCGTGCTTTGCTTCTTGTTGCAATCATTCAGCTATCCATTTTATTAACCCGAGCTAATAAAATGGGTAGCCAAATGATTGTAACCGCTTCCGAAAGCCTCAGTATGGTCGGGAGTGGGTGTCTAGGGTTGCGGCTGGTCATCCTTCTCTTGCACGTCGTGAAATGCTCCCATCGGACCGAGCGTCTCAAACAGCCTCGGCTGAGAAAGCCCTACTCGCTGCCTTCTCGTGGAGGTGATTTTCACCAAAGTCAGAGGACGAAAAGCCGATATCCGGGGCCATAACTGGATTGATGGACCACTGGTAGTTCACCTGGAGGAGTTGACCAAAAACCCTGATTCCAAACCAACCAAGAGGTACGAACCCCACACAACTTCCTGGTTGTGGCAGTGGTCACCGGCTCGATTGTGTATCGAGGTTTATTGGGCACGTTGGATGTTTAACCACGTCCGATGATCAGGACACCGGGCCCTAATGGATTGCGCTTTTCGCACACCGCCCCGCTGCCTTGCGGATCAGGCTTTGGCTAGCCGAAGACTCCCGTTGTGGATTCCTCAAGAAAATTCGCCTGCCTTAGACTGGGCAACCTGGCAGTATTCAGCCCACAAGCCAACCATGGAACGTTTTTCTTTTTTATAAAGAATATTGCACCATGATTTTCTTGGCGCACAGTCTACCCTCAGACAAGTGTGAAATATAATATTATAATAATATGTTATTACCCAGTGAAGAAAAGAGTACTAAAGATGAAAGCAAGCATCAGCCGGCTCGTAAGGAGGACCGAGCAAATAACAGACAAAAGACAAGCAGGCGGTACATCGTGATCTCAGTGCATAACAACTTGTGCTGAATTCCACTAAAGAAAGTGAATACACAAGTTAAAAAATTGAATTACTTAGATGGGTTGTGTCGGTCAATATTTCAAGAGATTAGTTATGGCACGATTAAAGATATTATTCGATAATTAAATTCACTGATCAGAATCAAGAGCAACAAACTGAGTGAGACATGATAGATGAGCACATAAAACGGGAAATGAGAATTGAAAAAAAAACTTGTAGTTTTTATCCTTATACATAAAAGACCCTTCGTGTCTCGCTGAAAAGGGTGAATTTTTGCACGGACTAAATATCGGGCCCTACAGATTCCAAGTGAAGAAGACATTTTAGCAATCAGTGTTGTGTTGCTATTAGCACCTTCCCGTGCAAAACTAACAATAGGGAGACGTTGCACCTTCTTCCGTTGATCAACCATAGTTGAGATGAAGGACAATTTGGAAGAATAAATAAGCTGATTGGAACAGTGATAAAAAGAATGGTGACAATCGAGCAATCAAGTACAGTTTGCGTTGTGTAACTCCAGCTCGAGGTAGGCAGTAAACAAATACATTGTCATTGGCACAGTAAGAATGCTTTAGGAAATGAATTGTGGCCTTCTTCAGGAAGCTTAGTGGACTATCCCTTCTACGAAAACCAGTCAATCATTACTGAGGTTTCCAATCTTGTAAAATTAAACATTGGAAAAACTCACCATAGAGAACAGTTATACAACAAATCTAGTTCGTGGTAAGGGGATTTCGACGCTACTGCTCACTCAACGTTCGAACTGAAGATTCATTGACAAGGATTGTTGCAATCTCTCACAAAATAGTGCTCCATTGGAGGAATGAAACAGGACTAATTGGGAGTTTACAATGCATTAATTCACTGTATGTTGCTTGCAAATGGCGACTAAAGTTGATGACAATCATGCTTGTCAATCACCGGTTTCATTACTGGGTGTCAGAGACAGATCGGACATTGATCCTTCTAGAAACAACACTGCTTAATGATACGTGCGTGCATAAGGATATAAACATCGCCCTCGGAATCAATCAAGTCACGGGACCAAAACCTAACGTATCATACAGAGGATAGCATCACATGCCACAGACCACATCCATCCAAAGATTTAGTAAGTTATCAACGACGTTGCACTCTTGATAGAAATTACGCATAGAATGGCAGAGTTCATTTACATAACTCTGAGAGAAATATAACCGACAGAAAAATAACCGGAATTCTCACGAATGACCATTTGCGTTAACATGTCGTTTAGTCACTCACGGGTTTCCATGCAAGATGATCGAAAACCCACACTTGGATAGAAGACAAAAACAACGCCTAAGACGTCAACACTATGACAGTTTTCACACTCTGATCGAACTGAAGAAACTGAGTGATTGAAGTTGGGGACATACAACGAATACAACACTGAGATATACAAATAAAGCGACCATACTGATCAAATGGTACTAGCGTGACTACAAAAGGAAAAACCGATTTGATGCTGCGTTCGGTTATTCTTATATCATGATTCCAGATGTACATTCCTGTTTGGAGTGCACTTCACTCAACCAAACAAATGATAGGATATAGTTGCAAATCCCACGGAACGGCGATAACGAAAACCAGAAATGAAAAGTGAACGTCAAATGGAAGAAATGGATCTTCGAAAAGAACAAAAACAACCCCGTACCTGCCAAAATCACATATCTTCAGTAATCCAAGATTCGGATTGATTAGAAGATTCTGTGGTTTGATATCACGATGACATACCTCCCGGCTATGAATGTATGCCAAACCACGCAACAACTGGAAACTGTACAACTACAAAAAGCATATGAAAATGAAAACACATGAATAGATAGCGAACAACGAAGCGGTAAACTCAGGCATTCGTGATGTGATAATTCAGCAAACCGATGTAATTTAAACGCAGTACAGATTTTCTCTCACATAACCTGAAATGTAGTTTAACTTGTCCCACAAAGAAGTTGTATGCGCGCCGCGTTTTAGGACCGGCAGACTAAACCCATTCATAATGGAAGCAGTGTACATAAGTTTCACTATTTTGTGGAATCATCGCCCGCACTTTACTACTAGGACTTTGTATGACTCGCCGGTTTTCATAATCACATAAAAAGTCATCACGACTATGCAGTATACAACGATGTAATTTTTAAAAAATGTAGGTGGAATTTAAACTCGGACAAGAGCAGTAAATGCAATGAGCTAATGGACCTTCAGCAGCTTCACTGTAATATCATGTTACTGGAGAGTGGTGATCACCCTGATATACTAATCTTCACATATCGAAAGGTGATAAGATAAATTTCCCTTGCCAATTATGGCATCTAACTTGAACTCACGTCGACCGAATTCCCAATTTTTTCACCTTCCTTATTGCCTGAAAATAATTAATCAATCTTGAAACATTGGATCCCCTTTATCCAATTCGTCAGAACCCGCTTCCCATACAATTGTCCGTTTTACCACTGTAGTTACCAAAACTTGCTTATATAAATACCAGATTGTTTTACTTTGTAGCGACTGAAGAGATTAAAAGAAATGTTAACATCTCGCAGTTTTCGTCTTTTATCGGTTCTAACGAACTAATCAATCGCCTAGCCCCGTGAGTGCTTTTTATGGGCACCTTTTCACTTCCTACTAATGAATACAAAATATATGACAACTTTCAGGAAGCAGGCGGGCTGTAGCCATTACGGCGCAGCCCACGGACACGATAAAATTGGGGCAACGGAGGGTGTTATACACACGTTCCCTCATGGCAATAAGTTGGCGACCTTGACTGTTTGACTAACAAAATCATTGTATTCGCCTCAAATAATAAAAACAGCAATAAGTGAACACAGTCACTCACTTTCACATAGGCCAGAGGTATCACTTGTCGTATCCGCCAATAGTGCTTGATGAGCCGACTAAGGGTTTGGGGAACGAATTCCTGTACGAGGTTGAGGTATGTTTCACCGGGTTTCTAATCCAAGAATAAGAGTAGTGATCGGATGATAAGACACAATAGGAATGAAAAGCAGACTCACGGAAAAACGAACCACCACTACTTACCGAGGATGACTGAGAATAAAAATAGTAAAACAAAGTGACCACATTTGGATGACGCATCTCCTTGAGGATTTGCAGTTCGCGATTCTATTGTGGATTGGAATGGAAAAAGCGGTCGCAAGTCATTTGAGGCTTTCGCTGGTACAATGAACATCTAATCATGCAACGATCAAAATCGAGTGACATGATGGATGGGGGATCTATTTGAACTCCAGAAATTATTTACTACAGTAACCAACAATAAAAATGTCCTGGGAAAGAACGACAAACAGTATATAGAACTTTGGTGAAGACTTCTTTTCTAAGAATCCCGTAAAGAATAAATGCGATGGACATCCATTCGGTAAGCACTACGGAAAGTACAAGAAATGCAGTGGCGCCCACGAAAAGAAGACTCTGGTATCTACTTTAAGATGACATATTGCCAAGATTGCGAGGTAATGGAGATCAATCGACCAGAAAAATGGTAAATCGCCCCGCAACATCGAAATATGAACCCCTAAGGAGGTAAATTGATCTCCATGGGGTAAGTGTTCAAGAATTCTTGAAGCTTCCGGCTACATATAACTGTATGAGACTCAGTTATCTGAAAAAGCTGCAAGATTCTTCGTTGTTAGGCGATACACGAGCAAATAAAAATTTTATTTCATTGGAGAAAACAATAATGAGAAACATATTAATTACCTTGTACCGTTCATCTTGCAAGACCTTTTTGATAGCAACTTCTCGATCGTCACTCAATGAGGCTGCATACACTACACCAAAAGATCCCGTACCAACTGCCTTCACATTGCTATAAGTGATCCTAACTGTGCTGCCGCCGGGAACCTGGATTGCGTCAACCGAAATTCGTTCCCGTTCGCGCTCATCTGGAAATGGCACGTTGATGAAACCAGATGGTAAAAACTGCAAGCAAAATATTAGAATTCAGACCTCACAACTACATCCATCACACATAAACACGAGAACCAAACTGCAGAACAAAAACGACAATACGGACGAAGGCAATTTTTGCTCTATTTGTTGGATGTTGCACTAAATGAAAATGGACTGAATTAAAACTCATTCACATGCACAGTAACCCGAATTAATTTTTCAAAGAACAAGTGAACCGGCCGGAATTTCTTTAAAATACTTTGGAAGTTAACGTAGCATACACTCAAAGCCCTGGAAAATTATCAACCACGAGGTTTGGGTTTCTGAACGGAAAAGCACAGATCACGTACGCATCCGAAATCCNGAGTTGTGAATTTCCCTCGCTGTCGAGTATTTCTCTGTCTAAAATCAACGGATTCTAAAAACAAAAAGATCAACACAGCTCCGGTTCTGTTCACAAACGCCAGTAACGAGCACTTGACGTATCATATGGATACGAATACGGCACGAATGGTCAGTTTGCCTTTTACTTAACTGCAATTATATGTACTCAGGCGTCTAGCATAGTAGAACAATGAAATACCCTGTCCTCCTTTTCAATGCTAATATTTCTTGCTCAAATCGA